GAGAAGTTCGTCTTCAGACTGGCCAAAGCCCGGCATCGGGCTACTCAAGATATCAGGGTGGTGAAGAGCGTGAAGAGCAACAACGGCGCCATCCTGAGGAAGCCAGCCGAAGTCGGAGGAGGTGGGAAGAGTACTTCAGAGGTCTTCTGAACGAGGAGTTCCCACAAGAACAACTCACGGGCAGAGGCCACAGCTGGTCCCATCGCACTCTGGACAGAGGATGAGGTTCGGTGTGCACTTGGGAAGATGAAGGTTGGAAAGGCAGGTTGGTCCGGATGGAGTACCCATAGAGGCTTGGAAGGCGCTGGGAGAGCACGGGGTAAGGTGGCTCACCCGCTTCCTGAACACGGTAACTGCCGAAGGAAGGATGCCGGATGCCTGGAGAACAAGTACTATCGTCCCCATCTTCAAGCAGAAGGGTGACGCGATGGACTGCTCCAACTACCGCGGGATCAAGTTGACTGCGCATACCATGAAGTTGTACGAGCGCCTGGTCGACTCGAAACTGCGGGAGCTGGTCCCGATCTCCCAGGAACAGTTCGGGTTCATGCCCGAAAGGTCTACAACGGATGCCATCTTCATCGCAGGCAAGTGATGGAGAAGTATCGAGAAAAGCGCCGACCCTGCTACCTAGCCTTCCTCGACCTGGAGAAGGCGTTCGACCGGCTACCGCGAGCAGTACTATGGAGATCGCTCAGGGAACGAAACGTGCCAGAACACCTGATCTCTCTGGTGAAGGACATGTACGAAGGAGCCAAGGCAGCTATACGCACCCCACACGGCCTAACGAAGGAGGTGGACATCACGGTTGGGGTGCACCAAGGGTCAGCTCTGAGCCCGTTCCTCTTCCTCCTAACACTAGATGTCCTGGTGAAGGGGCTCATGGAGGGACCACTGAAGACTATCCTCTACGCTGACGACGTCGCCTGTCAAGAAGACCAAGTTCCTGAGCTCCGAAGAGGGTGCAGAGCCGATCGTGGACCATGGTGAGACCATCGAAAGAGTGGAGGACTTCCGATACCTTGGGAGCGATCTGGCAGCCGACGGTAGTGTGGATCAGGCAGTGAAGGCTCGGGTCAACGCTGCATGGATGAAATGGAGGGAGTCCACTGGAATCCTCTGCGATCGAAGGTGCTCCAGAACGCTCAAAGGGAAGGTGTACCGGACAGTGGTAAGGCCTGCGATGCTCTACGGCAGCGAGTGCTGGCCTTGAACAAGATGAATGATAAGGCAGTTAATGGAATAAGCAAGCCGCTAACAAATCTACTTTGCTAGCAGGCTTGCCATGTCGAATGTTTTGTAATGGCACGATTGTGATAACACCTCAACGGCTATATAAACTTCTACGATGCACACTTTTGGTCATTCCTCAAGGTGCTGCAGTGGCAGCTGGAGAGCAATGGAGGAGGGAAGCAAAGATTACGCAGAGAAGGTACGGCGATTGCCGAGGACCAAGCTGATTTTTTCAAAGTAGAAGTTGTGCAAGAATATCTGTCAGAGGATCAATTCCAGCTTTCCTTGACAGATATTTCATTCCTTTTCTGGTATCCACAGGCCCGCTCAGAAATAATTGAATATATCTCTATGTCCCATGTACTTGCCCCCTCCAATGCCGGAGAAGATTCTGCGAAAGCGCTCCATATCCTGAAAGACTTTCCTGATTAGAAGGAGATAACCCAACATGCAAAATTTTGTAATCAGCCAAGATCGATCCCTTAGATGATCCATTTTTCGTTTTGTTTATTTAAAGGCTATTTTAGGAAAAGCCCTCCATATCCTGAAAGACTTTCCTGATTAGAAGGAGATAACCCAACATGCAAAATTTTGTAATCAGCCAAGATCGATCCCTTAGATGATCCATTTTTCGTTTTATTTATTTAAAGGCTATTTTAGGAAAAGCCCTCCATATCCTGAAAGAGCTTTTTTGGGCTTTTGACCAGCGTTTGTGATAGCATCACAATAGTTCACGATCCGTCGAGAACCCGTTGAGCTCGTACCGTGCACCGTGCTAACAAACCAAAACATTCTGATAACGTCGGGGCAGAAGAGTCTTATGGAAACTGTTGGTACAGAAAATATGCTCTTCAATTTCACTTCTGCAAAGTGTAGGTAATTCCGCTCTATATGTGTAGAGGAGTGACCTTTCTTTGTCTATGTAGTACCATGAGTATAATTATCCTTCTATTTTATAAAGCGCTAACTTTGTGTGTCGGTTTGTGTATCTGTATGTGTGTGTGTGTGTGTATGTATGTGTGTGTCCGTCCGCAAAATGAAGTGAGTGAGAAGGAAGCTCATGGGATAAACAAACCGCTAACAAATCGGGTAGCTTACAGGATTTGAGATATCAATGTTTTGTAGCAGGATAGTTGTGATAACACTCAGGGCTATATAAACACCTGCTTAGCACACTTCCGTTCATTCCACATGGTGCTGCAGTGGCAGCTGGAGGGCAGTGGAGAGAGGAAGGGAGGATGAGGAAGGGAAGCGAAAAATCTACCGTCATATCATGATTGTGTCCCTTCTACTGTATGAAACACCATTGTGTTGCATACGCGTCACTTCCAGAGGTGTTGGTGTCACAGGAGGAAGGGACCATAGCGGAGGATAGAAAGCTTGCGCAGGAAAGGAAGGTCCCGGCGGTTGACGGGGGACTAATCTGGTATATATATAATCGGCTAAGCGGTTGTGTGTGTGTGTGTGTTTGTCTGTCTGACCGGAAATTCATAGCTCGGGCACCAGTGGTCGTCAGGAGTTGGTTTCAAGATATGATATAGGGGGTGGGACGGGAACATATTTGGTGGGGGTCACAAAGTGATAACGACTGATATGAGCAGATAAGAGGCGCTGAAACACAATTTTCACAAAATTCATAGTGCGCTTCGCAGCAGTCGTCAGGAGCTGATTTTGGGACATGATATAGGGGACGGGAACATATTTGGTGGGGGTCACAAAGTGATAACGACTGATATGAGCAGATAAGAGGCGCTGAAACACAATTTTCACAAAATTCATAGTGCGCTTCGCAGCAGTCGTCAGGAACTGATTTTGGGACATGATATGGGGGTTGGACGGTAACATATTTTGTGGGGGTCAAAAAGTGATAACGACAGATGAGGACTGATAATTACGATATGCGTACGAACGTAGAGATTACTCGAAACCAGATTGCAGATAATGCATTTCATTTCAATATCATTTCATTAGCGTTATAATTGTAAATTCAAACACCTTTCAACCGCTACACCTTCTAGAGTTCTTTGAGGATGAATGGGATGCTCTAATAAATTTGATAGTGAATACTGGGCATTCCGTCTTGAGATTACCAAAAATTATTCGACCGCTAAATTTCCTCGATTCTCGATGCATGGTGGTTGTTTACATACATCACTTTAGCTGTGCACTTCACTGCGCTTATCAAACAGTGAGATACAGCCAAGATGGGCAACGGACAGTAATGCATTTAACGAAGCAGCTATAGTTAAGCGGTGAAACCCAAAGCTTCACCGATTGTCAGTTTTGTCAGAGGCTTCCGTGTCATGCGCGCGGTAGCGGGCGGAGCTAAACTGGTTACAAAGAATTCGTGCGACGGTTCTCGGGGGTGGGGGCAGGGTAAAGTATTGAAAATAGCACAGCACGCTAGTGGACTCTGTCTAGGAAATAAATGAATAATGAGCATATAAATTTCACAAGGATACATCACAGATCATTTGAAGATTTATTTGAAAAGTTCTGTTACAATTGTATAACTATAGAACTGTTGATTTGGCACCGCAGTTGACTATAGCATGCTCAATGAGAGTTGATATCTCTTTAGCTGTTGAAGCGATTTCCTTCAACTTCACGTTTTCGCCCAGTGGCAGTACCAGTTGCCCCTCCAGTTGCAGTGGTACCGGTTGCTCCACCAGTACCAGTTGCCCCTCCAGTTCCAGTGGTACCGGTTGCTCCACCAGTACCAGTTGCCCCTCCAGTTCCAGTGGTACCGGTTGTTCCACCAGTGCCGGTTGTTCCTCCAGTTCCAGTTGTCCCAGACTTCGGAGCGCAGGCCTGTAACAGAGTACAATGTTACGTTATCGTGCCGATATCATTTTTTTCTAACAAATATTTTCAAGGTGTCATAGTTTGTTCCAAGTGTTCATGAATTTTATATCCTCATATGTTCACAATCTGTGGCCCTAAATTATCATTAGCACACTTACCAGCGAGGTCGCGATGACACTGAGAATAATTAGCAAATGAACCATGGCGATTTGTTACGCAGCGACACGGTCAATAATTCGTTGCCTAGGTAGATAAATGTTAGTCAAACCCAATGATTAGATTATGAATACAAACAACAGCGAGTACTTTCTGATCCGAAATCCTAACAACTCCAGTCTTAATTTTGCCTCACCAATATCGCTGGAGTCGCAACTTCAAACGTTAGGTTTTGAAAACCAGGGGAGTTTCTGAGTCCAAGAAACACTGTACGAAAAGAAGATCATTCCGTTTACTCCACAAATCTTCAAAAGAATCTGCTAACAAAGACGTCTTCATGATGACGGCCCCTCTAATTTTTCACTTTTTGCTTCAGAAATAAAAGCATAAGAGTTATTATCAAACTTTTCTGTAGGCAATTTTGCCATAGATTCGTATAACGAATTTACATGGGCCGCAGTGATTACAGGTGTGAATGAACCTCTGTGAGAGCAAACAAGTAGTACTGTTGGAGGTCGGCTGGTCGGCCGTTATTTATGCTCACCACTGCGGTTCAGAGCGCAGGAACAATGCCTTTGTGACGCTTCTCGAAGGTGGTTTCATGGATAAATACCTGCTCCATTTTTTCACATAGGTTTCTATGCAGTCCTCTCTACATCGACGTGATAAATTGAAATTTTTGAAAATGGGCATCTGTTGAGTGGCGAGCGCATTCCGGATAATCCCGAATAATTTCGGGATTATCCGAAATTCGCATGAGGATATTTATAAGGAATATTGGCTCAACCTATGAATCTTGTCCGCATTTAACACTTTTGTTTATTCAAGTTTCACTCTCCCAAGCAACAACTGATCAACACTGTACCACCGCATGGACAGTGATACGCATGCTGTTACTGAAAATGTTTGGACGTTTACCTCTCAGAATGATTGAAGCTGGGGCTTTATGAATTTGGAGAATTCAGCTTTTGCGTGATTGTACCTTTTACATTTTTTCTCGCAACTGCTATTTGAGATCCCATGGAGGCAATAATACGATGGAGCAATGCTAATGCTACACGGCGAATGCAGCATCTTGGAGTGCGAGCTTTGGTATGCACTGAAATTTTCTAACCGCCTCTAACCAACATGTGAGAGGTCGATTGAATCCCTTCATTGCTGCAATCAAATCCAATGTCATCTTCGCAACAGTGTCGCAACAATGTGTGGACATACCAAGAAAGCCATCATGGATAATGAAATTCCGCAACCACCATTCCGGAAAATATTTCATGGTATTCCGTGAAAATTTATTCCAATTTTTTTTTTCTCTGAATCGTTGGTAAACAAAATCATTTTGTGTACCAACGTTAGATAATTGCTTCGCTAATATATTTGATCACGAAAACACCTGCGAGAAGCGTCACAGAGGCATTGTTCCTAAACTCTGGACCGCAATGGTGAGCATAAATAACGGCCGACCAGCCGACCTCCAACAGTACTACTTGTTTGCTCTCACAGAGGTTCATTCACACCTGTAATCACTGCGGCCCATGTAAATTCGTTCCTATACGAATCAATGGCAAAATTACCTACAGAAAAGTTTGATAATATCTCTTATGCTTCATTATTTCTAAAGCAATATAGTGAAAAATTAGAGGGGCCGTAATCATGAAGACGTGTTTGTTAGTAGATTCTTTTGAAGATGTGTGGAGTGAAACGGAATGATCTTCTTTTCGCACAATGTTTCTTGGACTCAGAAACTCCCCCTGGTTTTAAAACCTAACGTTTGAAGTTGCGACTCCAGCGATATTGGTGAGGCAAAACTAAGACGGGAGTTGTCAGGATTTCGGATCAGGATACTCGTTGTTGTTTGAAATCATAATCTGATCATTGGGTTTGACTAACATTTATCTACCTAGGCAACGAATTATTGACCGTGTCGCTGCGTAACAAATCGCCATGGTTCATTTGCTAATTATTCTCAGTGTCATCGCGACCTCGCTGGTAAGTGTGCTAATGATAATTTAGGGCCACAGATTGTGAACATATGAGGATATAAAATTCATGAACACTTGGAACAAACTATGACACCTTGAAAATATTTGTTAGAAAAAAAATGATATCGGCATGATAACGTAACATTGTACTCTGTTACAGGCCTGCGCTCCGAAGTCTGGGACAACTGGAACTGGAGGAACAACCGGCACTGGTGGAACAACCGGTACCACTGGAACTGGAGGGGCAACTGGTACTGGTGGAGCAACCGGTACCACTGCAACTGGAGGGGCAACTGGTACTGGTGGAGCAACCGGTACCACTGCAACTGGAGGGGCAACTGGTACTGCCACTGGGCGAAAACGTGAAGTTGAAGGAAATCGCTTCAACAGCTAAAGAGATATCAACTCTCATTGAGCATGCTATAGTCAACTGCGGTGCCAAATCAACAGTTCTATAGTTATACAATTGTAACAGAACTTTTAAATAAATCTTCAAATGATCTGTGATGTATCCTTGTGCAATTTATATGCTCATTATTCATTTATTTCCTAGATAGAGTCCACTAGCGTGCTGTGCTATTTTCAATACTTTACCCTTCCCCCCCCCCCCGAGAAACGTCGCACGAATTCTTTGTAATAATTATACTCATGGTACTACATAGACAAAGAAAGGTCCAGCGAGCTCAACGGGTTCTCGACGAATCGTTAACTATTGTGATGTTATCACAAACGCTGGTTAAAAGCATAAAAAAGCTCTCCCAGGATATGGAGGGCTTTTCCTAAAATAGCCTTTGAATAGATAAAACGAAAAATGGATCATCTAAGGGATCGATCTTGGCTGATCACAAAATTTTGCATCTTGGGTTATCTCCTTCTAATCAGGAAAGTCTTTCAGGATATGGAGCGCTTTCGCAGAATCTTCTCCGGCATTGGAGGGGGCAAGTACATGGAACATAGAGATATATTCGATACCAGAAAAGGAATGAAATATCTTTCAAGGAAAGCTGGAATTGATCCTCTGACAGATATTCTTGCACAACTTCTACTTTGAAAAAATCAGCTTGGTCCTCGGCAATCGCCGTACCTCTCTGCGTAATCTTTGCTTCCCTCCTCCATTGCTCTCCAGCTGCCACTGCAGCACCTTGAGGAATGACCAAAAGTGTGCATCGTAGAAGTTTATACAGCCGTTGAGGTGTTATCAAAATCGTGCCATTACAAACATCGACATGGCAAGCCACGCTAGCAAAGTAGATTTGTTAGCGGCTTGCTTATTCCATTAACGGTCTTATCACTCATTTCATTTTGCGGACAAGCACACAGACAAACTTACAAGCAAATCAACACACTAAATTGTGATTCATATAATAAAGTGATTTCAAAGAATAAATGTGTTGTGTCCTTCGGAAGACGGTCAGTAACAGAATATTTTTCAGAAGACATTGAACTGAACTACAATGAAACTGTACACTTATATACCGTACTGGCCCGCCAGATCTCTGGTCAAAATCTAGCAGGTCGCGTAGGTTACAGATCAACTACAAAAGAAATGAGATCACATGGTGTCCCAACACCTCCCCCCTAAGATTGACGGCTCTGGTACGACTTGGCGTACGGGTCAATCTGAAGGTAATCAGGAGGGCGTCGAGTGCGGCTCGATCGTCGTCCGGGTGCGGTGGTCGGAGGCTCCAAGGGTGTAGTTGTCGTCGTCGTTGCCGTGTAGTCGTTGTCGTAGACGGTGCAGTCGTGGCCTGCTAGACGGTGTACGGTGCATCGGAGACAACGGTTGCGTCAGCGTCCTTGAAGGCGATACTGGTGTGGAGTTGAACGGCATATCGAAGGCGTCCATTAGGTTGCGTGCATCTTCCGGCGAAGCACGTGGGCGTAGTTGATTGGCGTGGCGCTTCCAGATGGATTCTTGTACTAGGACGTCGTAGAGCGTTCGGCCGTGTCGTAGTAGAATGCGTCCAGGAGACCATCTGGGTTGTCCGGAGCGGAAGTCGCGAGCGTAAACGAGGTCATCTGGCTCAAACTTCCTTGGCTTGGCGCCGTGTCGTCGGTTGAACTGCTTCTCCATGGCGATGTCTGGCCTAGCTTCTGGCGCATGGCTAGGCTTCAGCAGGTCCAGCGTGCTGCGGAGGCGTCGACCGATGAAGTTTTCTGCGGGGGATCGTCCATCGGGCGATGCGGTGCACGGCGTGTTCCTGTAGGTGAAGAGGAATGTCTGTAGAGCGTCCACGGTTGGTCCATTGTTCTTCATCTTCCCCAGTGAGCGCTTGAAGGTGTCGACGAAGCGTTCAGCTTGTCCATTTGACTGAGGATGAAACGGCGGCGACCGGACGTGCTCGATTCCTTTACTTCTGCAGAAATTGTGGAACTCCTCGGAGGTGAACTGAGTTCCATTATCCGAAACGATGATCTTGGGAAGTCCGAATTGTGCGAAGGCGTCGGAGTTCCCTTAGTGTGGCGGTACTGGTGATGGAATGACTTCAGGCCATTTGGAGAAGGCGTCGACGACCACCAGATAGGAAATCCCGTCCACTGGGCCGGCGAAATCGATATGGATCCGGCTCCATGGCGCATCTGGGCGGGACCACGAACAAAGCGTATTTTTGATGGGCGACTTGGTGGCTTCCTTGGCAGTTGGCGCAGTTGCGAACAGCTTCTCCAAGTCGTCGTTGATCTTCGTCCAGAATACGTAGCTGCGAGCGAGGGCCTTCATCCGATTCATTCCTGGATGTCCTTCGTGGAGTGCCTTCATAACGGTCGGCTGGAGTGCAGGAGGGATGATGATTCGGCTCCCGAAGAGTAGGCATCCTTGCTCTGTCGAAAGGTCGTTGCGCAGGTGGGCGTAACTGGCAACGGTAGGTGATGGCTTCTTCGGCCAGTTGTTGTGAACTACGTGGTCTAGGACTTGACGTAGGCAATCGTCCTCAGCGGTGGCACGTGCTACATCGTTGGCAGTGACCGGTAGACGGCCTACATTGTCGTAGAAGATGGCGTTGACGTCCCTGGCGATTTTGGCGATTATAACGTCTTCCTCTGGAGGCGATTGAGCGGAGATGAGTCGAGAGAGTGCGTCGGCCTGTCCGAAGTTGGTGGTGCTCCGGTACTCGATGTCGAAGTCGTAGGCGAGCAACGTAAGTCTCCAGCGTTGAAGGCGATTCGCCGAGTAGGCAGGGACTCCTTTCTTCGATCCGAATATAGCCAAGAGTGGTTTGTGGTCCGTGAGAAGGGTGAAGTGGCGTCCGTAAATATAGCGGTGAAATTTGCGCACGGCGTAGATGAGTGCGAGCCTTCCTTCTCTATTTGACCGTAATTCTTCTCTGCGGCAGTGAGAGAGCGGCTAGCGTGGTAGATAGCTTTCTCTGTTCCATCCGGGTAACGATGAGAGATTACTGCTCCTATTCCATAGTCTGAAGCGTCGGCCGCGATGACGATTGGCAGATTTGGGTTGTAGTGAGTCAGGAGCAGGTCCGAAGCGAGCACTTCCTTGGCGCGTTCGAAAGCGGCGTCGCATTCGGGATTCCAGTTGAACGGAGCATCCTTCTTGAGTAGTGCGTCGAGCGGTGCACGGAGCTGGCGCATCTCTGGGACGAACGCTCCGTAGTAGTTGATCAGACCGAGGAATGACCGGACCTGGGCGGTATCCTTCGGTTTTGGCATCTGAGTGATGGCATCGATCTTCTTGGGATCGGGTCGGCGTCCAGCAGCGGTGATGACGTTTCCAAGGTAGGTCAACTGGGTCATCACGAAGTGGCACTTGTCGATACGGACGCGGAAGCCGTAGGCGGATATCCTTGAAAAGAGGGCTTCCAGGTTGGCGTTGTGCTCGGAGAGTGTGCGGCCGGTGACGATGACGTCGTCGAGGTAGGCAGCAACGCCGTTGAGTCCAGAGATCATGGAGTCGATGATCTGCTGGAAGATGCCAGGCGCTGATTTGACTCCAAACGGCAAGCGATTGTAGCGGTAGAGTCCTCGATGCGTGTTGATTGTGAGGAGCTCTTTGGAGTCGTCGTCGACTTCGACCTGTAGGTAGGCGTCGGCGAAGTCGATCTGAGAGAAGACGGTTCCGCCATTGAGCTTGGTGAAGACGTCCTCTGCGGTGGGCAATGGGTGTCGGTGCAACAGCAATGCGTCGTTGAGTCCCGTCGAGAAGTCGGCGCAAAGTCGGATGGATCCATTGGCCTTCTTCACAACGACGATTGGCGCGGCCCATTGTGAATGGTCGACGGCGGAGATGACGTTCTGTGCCACGAGACGGTCGATCTCGGCGTCGAGAAGAGGAACAGAGGCGTAGGGAACCGGTCTCTTCTTGATGAAAACCGGGCGAGCATCGGGCTTGAGGTAGAGCGTCGCCTTGGCCTTGGTACAGCATCCAAGTTCTGGCTTGAAGACATCCATGAAGTGGTGCTTCAGCTTGGCGATCGTCTGGTCTCGGATTGCGTCGTAGTCGAGCGTCTGCACCTTCTGGATATTGAATCTCTTCAGAACTGAGTTGAAATCCTGAATTTGTTCGATCCATGTGATGCCGAGAAGGTCATTGTCGTCAGAGACGTAGCAGACGCCTTGTCCAGGATGAGCCTTTCCTTGGTTGTCCACTACCACGAAAACAGCGTCGAATTTTCCGTGAATCGGTAGTGGTAGACCGTTGGCTCCTTTGAAGACGTCGGAAGTCTTCTGTAGACGCGGGCTTCCGAGTTGCATCCAGGTTGGGCGAGAAATGATGGTGACGTCGGCGCCGGTGTCCAACTGGAGGCGAGTGGGATGTCCATTGATGTGAACTTCCAGAGCGGCCGATGGCTCGTTGATACCACGTGCGCGGTGATGACTGCTTGATGCGACGTCGTGGCGCAGTCCTTGACTCCTGAGCGGCACTGGTAGCGTTGCGGTTCTGTGGGCAATCCTTCTTCCAATGTTGCTGCTGACAGATCGGACACGGTGATGGCGGAAGTCGAGGCTTGATTGCGGGAGAGAGGCGATGCTTCTTCCTCTTCTGGACGGCGCGGATTTCCGGTGAGTTGGCGGCTTCGACGATTTTGGAGTCATCCTTGACTGATTTCCAGGCGTGGTACTCCTTAGCCAAATCGTCGACAGTGATCTTCTCGTCCTCGTCCAGCTTGCGAAGGAAGCGAACACGATAGTCGGCTAGCTCTGGGGCTTGGAAGGCGAACACCAGGGCCAGGCATTCTAGCGTTTCCTGTCTGATGTCCTTGAAGTTGGCCTCTAGAGCGCGAGCCTTGAGCAAATTGACGAAGTTGTCGATGTCCTCGTTGGGCGAGAAGCTCATCCGGAAGCATTCGAAACGGCGGCGGAAGACGCTCTTCTTGGTGCCGAATAGCGCCTTCAGGGTTGCGACAGTATCCGTCCAGTTCAGCTCTCCTGGCTCCTTCGGGA